AACACGGCCCTTCTCTATCCTTTCTCTTCTACATGGCTTTTTCCTTGAAGATTTCTCCACCTCGGCTCTTTCAATAAGCCCTTTGGAGACAGCTTGCTAAGAATCGATTTTCTTTATTTTCCTGACTTCCCTCCATCCCGAATGCCTGAACATGGCCTGTGTATGGACGTCATCTCCAAAGTGATTGAGGGAGCTCCGAGACCCAGGCCTTTTCCAGGAAAACCGAATCAAAAAAGACAGTCCCTTCTGGGCTGTGCAGGAGCTTGGGGAGGGTCTGGGTGGTGGAGGGTCTGGGTGGTGGGACCCCATCCCATCCCATTACCGGTTTAAGTCAGTGGCTTTTACAGTTTGCAGGCTGTAATCTGCAGTAGGATATGGCATTTGCATCTCAACTTAGCATGTATACACGTGCCGGGGGACTTCACCAAGTGCATGGAAATGGAATGGAAAGGTACAAATCATTCTGGTGTAAAAAAATTTGAAACTCATGCAGTTAATTTCATAATGCACATTTCTCATGAACTTTTTGAAAATCCCTCGAATGCATGGATTTCAAAAATTTTTACAAAAAAAAAATAAGCTTCGCTTTCAACTCAATTTTTCCCTTTTTGTGAAGTACGTTTATATACGCACATACCAGTTATTTTTCAAAAAGCTCGATTCTTACAATGGATGGTGTTCCCCACCCCCCACCTGCACTCCAAGATGCTGGACAAAACCCATTGAATTGATTTTATGATGCACTAATGGGTCACAGTGTGCAATTTTGAAAAGCACAGATTTTAAGAAGGCTGCCTGGTCTCCTGCATTCGGTGAGGAAGCCCATCAAATCCCCGTTATTGTTTCTCTCCCAATTCACCCTCAAGGCTTTTTAGCTGCTGTTTCCTGATCCTGTGATGAGGTACATATCGATCCTGGATCCTCTCTTTTCGCTGCCTGTCTGTCTTGAACAGTCAGCCCAGGCTGCTTTCTAATCAGGCCGTGATTGTCGGTGTGCCCCATCTCAGGTGCGCCGGCTGGAGCTCAGACATGGTCGTAAATCAAAGCCTCGGGACTGCCATCTCCCTGACCTTGCAAATATAAACAGGGCCGGTTGTCCGGGTCTCCGCCTCCTGCCTTCCCTCTCTCTCTCTCTGCACTTCTTCTCTGGGGAAAAGCAAGGATCTTGTTTAGGTCCGACCACACACTTTTCTTTATTAGCTTAATAAACCTTGTTCCCTGACTGGTGGACATTTCTCTGCGTGGAGCTGACTCGTGCGTAATCTGCGTAGCGCATTGCATGCTGAGTGTGAGTGAGCTGAGGGTTTCTGGTGCTCAGGGCTCAGCATCAGAAGCCAAGGCCAGAAAGTGGGGAGGAGCTGGGGCATGTAGCGATCTGTTCTTCATCTGCCTCTTTTCTCAGTTATGAGGTTGCCAGCTCCTTAAATGGGGACCCGCAGGATCTCCACGCACGGCTCCTCCAATTGGCTGGCTCATTAACCAAAGTTCAATCTTTCTCGCCCCAAAGTTTCTCAGTCATCTCTGTTTTCTTATTTCCATTTCAAATCCTCCCCCTGGCAAAAGGATGGCCTGGGAGTTGTAAGTGTATTTAGGGCTGCTTCTCAGTTCCCATTTTGTCACTTAGAATCAAATTCTCATGATTTGGAGTCAGCACTGTTGCCAGAGAACGCTAGGACCAAGGGCTCCCCCATCAGGATCCCAGGGGGCCACACTACTAGCTGGGATTTCTTGTGGGGACTTTCTGCACACCCGCTAGGTGAGGAGACCCCCTGGGGCTCTGGCCAGCACCTGCCAGTAAGCTGGGAAGACAGACTGCAGGGGTGGGGAAAAAAAAAAAAACCCTCTCTGGATGCCAAGTGCCTGAGACCCATAGAAGAACAAAGAAAATTGACCATGCCGGGGAAGCACAGGGCCGTGGGGGAGGGGAGATGTCCTTCTGACCCTACAGCAATATAGAATTTCTCAGTCTGGAACTGTCATGCTCAGTTTCGTCCCAAATCTCATTTCACGTAATACTGACCTTTAATAAATAATATGATTAATATTTTATTCATAGTGATGTAACATTCATTATTAATAACTCAAACTCCTTTAACAAATATTGTTGACACGGACAAAGCTATCATCTCGGAGGCTCTGGCTCTGGTGCCATGAAACATGGCTATCTGAAAAACAAAGATTGGTGCTGCTCAGGCCCCCCTGTGCAGGGTTGACAGGAGCTGGTCCTGAGGCAGGGTCTGGCTCTCCCATGAGGGCATAGTATTCTTTCCCATCCACGGTGGATGTGTTTGAGTCAGTCACTAGCACAGATCCTCTGGTGCTACTATCAAGAAGAATGCCTTAGCATCTGCACCAAACTCACCTCTTAGCGTTTAGATGAGCACAGTTCCTGGTATCAAATTATGCTAGACTTAAAGACTAAAGACAGTAGTTCTACTTCACTTCTCTTAGGGTGTAGGGTAGTCAGGAATGTAGATACGACATGACTGGGTGTCCTGACTCTGTTTCAAGTGACTTCGGACGGGGAGGTGTGGCCTAACAGGCTGAAGGGTCCACCTCTGAAACGCCCCTTCTTGTGGTCGGGTCAGAAAGTACAAGGTCAGGGCAGACTTCCCTAAAGAAGCAACAGCTGAACCAAGGTCTGAAAGAGGACGAAGAGACTGAGCATCCAAGCTGCAGACAGGGACTTCTGCAAACTCCCTGGGCAGAAGTGATCGTGGTAAGGATGGGTGGGCAAGGTTTGAGAAAACCTAGTACAAGCTGGGCTGGAGAGAGGGCAATAGGAGGGGCCTTAGAGATCCTTGGGTTGAATCCATACTGTGGTATGTGGACACCTTGCCTAGTATCCAGCATCGTATGTACATGCACCCAAGCCAGCCGCCTGCTCATCCATCCGCCCATCCGTCTATGTACCACTCGGTCACCAAACCCTGACTGTTCACGTTTCACACACTGGAGTCACAGGGGTAAATAAATAAGACCACTTAGACTATACTGTTACAGAGTTACTCTTACTCTTACCGTTTCTAGTCTTCTTTGCTCTTCATTAGCCAGGGAGAGCTCTAAAGGTTACTCTAGTCTTCGCCTCCCAGGATAATATCCCACAAACCTCATCCTTAGTCTATCCCTGTGCTCCCATCACCCTTACCTGAAAATGCATCTACTGGTCACAAGGAGTGTTTGGTGTAGGAGCTGAAGTGATCCGTGACAGGTGCATTCGGGTGCCCCTCAGCATGGGGGAGGAGGAGGAGGCTGCACTAGGCTTTAGACTGCATGGCCACATCCTGGGGAGAGTCCTGGGATACTCCTTCTCTGGCAAGTCCATTTGTGTTTGACCTTGATGATTCTGAGCACATCACTCTCCCACTGGTGGACTCTGATATGGATGCCTGCTGTAAGAGAATTGTTTTTTCCAATCAATCCATTCTAATTTATCGCCAACTTAGCTCAAGCTATCTCTGTCCAACTGGACTCAGCTCAACTCACTTCTGCTCACCTCAATTCATCCATCTATGCGTTCTTGTTCTCAGCACAGACTTTTACAGCACTTCTCTGAATCTACACGAACTTGAACATCCAGCTGAGGTTGCCCCCTCCATGTTCACATCTCTGTTCCAATCTGAACAGAACCAGTGTGTTGCAGTGGAGACGAGGTGGGGCATAGAGCAGGACTGTGCTGTGTTTGCAACACAGTCTTTCCATTTATTGGCTGTCTTGAGCAATTTCAGAGCCACAGCTTTCTCATGTATAAAACAGGAATATGAATCCCTACCATCTATTTTATGAGGATTTTATCAGAATTGAACTTGTAGATGGTGCTCATTAACTCTCCCCACTTTTTTAACCCCTCTGAATCTAAAGGAAAATGAAGACCAAAAAAAAAAAAAGACTCAAAGCTCACTCTAACATCATAACATCATTAAATAAGAAGTGCCCATTGGGCCCAGTGCAGTAGCCTAATGGCTAAAGTTCTCACTTTGCCAGTGCCAGGATCCCATATGGCACCAGTTCTAATCCCAGTGACCCCGCTTCCCATCCAGCTCCCTGCTTGTGGCCTGGGAAAGCAGTCAAGGACGGCCCAAAGCCTTGGGACCCTGCAGTCTGTGTGGGAGACCTGGAAAAGCTTCTGGCTCCTGGCTTTGAATTGGCTCAGCTCCAGCCATTGCAGCCGCTTGGGGAGTGAATCATCGGAGAGAAAATCTTCTCTGTCTCTCCTTCTCTCTGTATATCTGACTTTCCAATAAAAATAAAATTAACCTTTAAAAAACAGGTGCCCACTGAGGACATGTTTGCTAGTGGACTGGTGTGTGATCCTATCCCTTGTCTCTGCCCCAATTCCCCATACTTTCCAAGTCTCCTTGGCAGAGCCATAGAATCCTTGGGTAGAAATGGCCTTGACATTTACCCAAAATACTTCATTTGCCTTTCTGGCTCAGCCTGGCCTGGACTTCGGTGCTCAGAGTCAGGGCCTGTGCCTCTGTGCACATCTTCAGCATTTCACTTACTGCTATTCAGGTCATCCTTGTTAGCCCATTCCCTTAGAAGCAGGGATATCATGGGGAGTCGAGAGGACTATGGCAAACTACCCAGGTCATCAGTCCAGCAGAACCCGAGCAGAGGACAGGAACAAACCCCATAGGAGAGGAACCAGAGACAAGAAGGGGAACTAGACAACAGGAGATCCAACAGATTGAAGCCACATGAGGTGGGTCCTCCCAACCACAGGTAATCACTGTCCCACCCACAACTAATGTTCCGTGTCATTATATGTCCACTCCTACTCATAGATGCAACTCAGGTCTCAACATTGTTGGGCAACTGTGCCTCCACGTAGCCAGCATCCTGTACCCCCAGGTTCCTGAAACCGAAGAAGGTTTCCCCTTCATCTCCCATGTTCTCCCCTTGAGGCTGAACTCAGACGATGCTTCCTCATCTAGGAAGAATGCCCTTTCTTCAGGTACTGCCCAAGGTCCTCTCACACACGTGTCCTCTGCTCACAGGCACTCCATGGGCTCCGAGGCGGAGACAGAGAGCATTTTCATGGAGCCCATTCACCTCTCGTCAGCTGTTGCTGCCAAGCAGATCATCAATGAAGGTAATGCCATCAGAGACTTCACGGGAGCAGGGAGGGGACCGGTGAACACCTGGAAATCCTGGGTAGGAGCCCTTTGGAAGGTGCAAACAGAGAAAGCATTTCTGCCAGACCCATCTCATCCACGTTGGTGGGGTAAAGATGGAAATGACGATGCGATTGGGTGACCAGTTGCCTGGTTTGATTGTCAGGTGGCAGTTCCAACTTGCCTTTAGAACTTTTCTTCCTTCCTTCTTTCCTTCCTTCCTCCCATCTGTCCTTTCTTTCCTCTTTCTTTCTTTCTTTTTTTTTTCAAAAGTTAAGTGTAAATGTCCTGGTGTGTCTTATGATACATACATTGACCTTGGAGCCTAATAAATAGTTAGGCTATTTCTATTACATCCAAGGAGTTTTGCTCAAAAATACCTGCACTTCACTCATATTCACAGATGATCTTCAGGCTGAAATGTGAAGAGAAGGGTCAGGGTGTGGAGAGGTGCTAATGTCCCCGCAGTAAATTCCAGAGCAGACACCATGTTGTATTTTCTTCAAGGTGACTCACCCCGAATGAATGCACTTTCTTTTTTCTACTCAATTTTGAGCAAAGACTCTCTCACAACTTCTTCCTTCCTCTCTCCTCCCTCGTCCTTGGGTGGCCTCTTATATTTCTGGCAGAATGGGTTAGGTCAAAGCAACGTGCTTACAGAGCAGAATCCTGCTAGCCTTTGGATTCCATTCTGCCATCCCCAGACTCCTCTTGGACCCTCGATCCTCTGGGTCCCTAGCAGGGGGTCCAGGGAGGGAGGGAAGGCGGTTCTCAAGGCACCTCGCAGAGAACCAGAATTCCATCTGCAGCTGCTGGCTGCTCTGGGTAGCCTGGGAGGCCCCCACATGCTCAAAGGCCCCTGTGCCTTTTAGTTTTCAGTTTTATTTTTTCCTTCTTTCACCCTGTCTGGGGGCTATGGTGTTATGCTACACCAGCCCAAGGTTCTTGGATACAGGCCATGGCCCTTCCCCTGGCCCAGCTCCCCTGAATGGCTCCTGGCCCAGCCCTGGCCCTGGGAGGTCCCATCATGCACCCTCACTACTCACACTTCACTCTTCTGGCCTCTCCAGGCTTAATTCCAGAGGAGAACAAGTCTAGCTTTTGCTTTAAAAAAAAAAAATTATCTCCCTTTGAAAGCATCACTTTCAAGTCTTCGACATTCAACATCTAGGTTAAAAAAAAAAGGTTTTAAAAAATTCTGGGTCATTCCTACTGTCCCCTTCTCCGGGACAATCAGCCTGTGTTTTACTAACCTTAGTGACTGAAGAGCTATGAGCGACACAAAGCCATTGCCTACAGCACAGAGAGGAAAATATATTGGGTGACATTAAAGAGCACAACCGGGATCGCCAGGAACGAGAGGGAGAAAGCAACAGCCTTGGCTCTCAGGCTCGCCTCAGAGAGGGCAGGCAGGGAGAAAACCATGAGGAGCTAAGGCAGGGTGGGAGGCAGACTCGGAAGAGACCGAGGGTGAAGTCGGGGCCCCTAGCGGTGGTGAGAGGTCGGATAGGGGGAGAAATCCAGAGAGCCACCTGCTGCTTCTATGGCTGAGGAAGGTAGCACTGTGTGGCAAAGCACTGGCGGCTCAAATGTTGTGCATGAAAAGAAAGCTATAGAACGAGATGAGGGAAAGGGAGGGGCTTTTACTTTTGCTCGGTGAGATCTGGGAGAGCCAGAGCAGAAAACCTGGGGAATGGGGGAGGGGGGGCGGGGAAAGCAGAACCACCTCACCTATTTTTAAGGAGAGCAGTACTCTGGTTTCCCTCTTTCTGTCTTTGAGATGGAGGTCAGGGAATAAAGGTCCTCTCAGCTTGTGGTTCAGACCAGCGATGAAGGACGAGAGAGCAGGAGAGCTTTAGTGGAGTGAAGAAACCAGGACTGGACACCTACCAGAAGGCTCCAGGAAGGGCAGGGCCCAGTCAGTCCTCCACGTATGGCTCTGCTTTCCTAGGCCTCTCTGCCAATCAGGAAAAGACATGGTACCAGCAGCAGGACCTGGCCAGTGCCCACTTTGCAATTCATATTTTTTTTCCACTGTCTTTTCTTGGCTACTGGGGAAAAAAAATTACCCTACCTACTCTTGTCCATCTTCTTACACATCTTCCTTTTCCTCCCATGTTTAATAAACTATGAACAAATGTATTAAACTTTTAGAATTTGTTGCTTTTATTTATTTGAAAAGAGAGAGATCTTCCATCCATTGGTCCACTCTCCAGATGCCTGTGGCAGCCAGGACTGGGTCAAGCCAAAGCCAGGAGCCAGGAACTCAATCTGAGTCTCCCATGTGGGTGACAGGACTCAAGAACCTGAACCTTTGTCTGCTGCCTCTCTGGCTCTTGCAAGGGAGCTAATCTCAGAGGCAAAGCTCTCGGGGTACATCCAAAACTGTGTCTTAACCCCTGAACAAATATAGTATTGGGAGAAAATAAAGGTCTACCCTGATGAATTTGAGTTGAATTTGAGTTGAATTTGAGTTGTGTTAAATTTGAGTTCATTTGGAATATGTGAGCTTTCCTGACCAGTTGTTGGAAAGGTCCTGAGTCCTGCCGTGAGAATAGCATGGAAGCTCAGAGCAGGCTTCAGCCTCCTGTGTAAGGGAGGCCACAGACACAGCAGCTTACATACCAGTGGAAGGGAAACAATGAAGACATAACTAAGCAAAGTAAAGGCTGTATTGCCTAAGTGACTGCTCAAGGTCATACTCTGCCAAGGTTATTTTGCACTGCATAAAGGAGTCAGACTGACAAGGCAGGTCTGTTATGAAGGAGTGCCAGGTGTTCCTTTGATAGATACTGGTGGGTGTCCACTTCATTTTGGACACTGTGAGAGTGAGAAGTATGAGTCAGACATATGCCTAGGACGTAAGAACCTGAGTGCAACAACAATCAGGAACAGGGCTTTACACACAGCAGTGAAGGTACCACTTGAGATGCCTGCATTCATACATATCAGAACACTTGATGTGGGCCCCGGCTCTGCTTCTGATTCCAGCTTTCTGCTAAAGTGAACCACGGCAGGCAGCCAACAATGGCTCCAGTCCTTAGATCTGGCCACTCATGTAGGAGACCCACATTGAGTTTTGGGCTCCTGGCTTCAACTGTGGGCATTTGGAGACTGAATCAACAAATGTAAGATTCTCTCTCTCTCTCTCTCTCTCTCTCTCTCTCTCTCTCTCTGTTTCTGCCTTTCAAATAAACAAAATGTGTTTAAAATTATCAGAAAGCTTTAGAGAAAAATGAGAGAGAGTAGCTAAGCGAGGCTATGGCTCAAACTGATTACAGGGGTCCAGATCAGTGCAGTGGGGCCTCAGAACCTCCATTCAGTCCTTCCTGGCAGATCCAACTGACCAAGAGCAGTTTCTCTCAAGAAACAGGGAAGGCCGGGGTGTACCCAATTCATTGTTATGAGTGCCACCTGTTCTTCCATAGAATTCAAGCCACGGGGGCTGAAGGCAGATGCAGAATGCCAGGGCATGCTGGAGTCTGCAGAGCAGCTGCTGGTGGAGGACCTGTACAACCGCGTCAGGGACAAGATGGATGACACCAGCCTGTACAACACACCCTGCGTCATGGACCTGCAGCGGGCCCTGGTACAGGACCACCGAGAGACCCCCTGGAATGAGGTGGATGAGGTCTGGCCCAATGTCTTCATAGCTGAGAAGTGAGTCCAACTGCTGCGGACACAACCTTTTGCCCCATTCCTCTGGTTGGTGGCAGAGCGAGTTACCCCTAACTCTCTTCATCCTGACTTGCACTGCCTAGCCCCTTGTCTCTTCTCTATCTCTTGTCACTGACCCCTTTGAAGAGAACATTTGCAGTGAGGCCCTTGCCAGGCTGTCCCCTCCCGCCCAGGCTTCCTGTCGCAGTGATAACACACTCTTCCAGTTGTGACTCTGGCCGACATATCCCTCTTTCTGCCCTCAGGAGCGTGGCTGTGAACAAGGGGAGGCTCAAACGACTGGGAATCACGCACATCCTGAATGCTGCCCATGGCACCGGCGTCTACACAGGCCCCGAATTCTACACTGGCCTGCAGATCCAGTACCTGGGTGTGGAAGTGGATGACTTCCCCGAGGTGGACATCTCCCAGCACTTCCGGAAAGCTGCCGAGTTCCTCGATGAGGCCCTGCTGACCTACCGGGGTAAGGGTGGTTGCTGGCTCCAGGCTGTGGGGACTGCCCTGGGGAGAAGCCACGTGGGCTTATCTGCCGTGTTTTAAGGGAGTCTATCTTGAGTGTCTCATAAGCAGGAGGCTGAATCAGAAATAGAGCTGAATGGATCTCGCATCAGGCATTCCAAGAAAGAAGGTGGCTCTCACAAGTGACAAGTTAGTTACTATGCCAAATACCCACCCTGCATCCAGATTTTTAACTCAGTGATAGATCCTTCCACCAATCAACCCTGCTACTCTCCTGCAAATCAGAAAAGACCACCTTCCTCAAACTATTTCCCTACTGGAAATTTTCATCATAACCAAATAAGCATATTTTGACTTCAGTGTGCGGAGTGTCCCCTAGAGTTGTACAAAGTCTATTCATCAGCGTGAACCCAGAGCTCAACAGAGAAAACAGAAAATCCCCAGCCAGCCTCTGCCTTGTCCCTGAGGCTGCCATGAGGGTCCCTTTCAGGCTTTAAGGAAAAAATATGGCACCCCCAGCCAGGTTACTACAGACCAAGCCTAAGTTGTGCTTATGGCAAATGACACCATCTTTAGGAGAGTGAGCCTTTGGTCCTAACAACAGTCTGTGTCGCCTGGCCCTCTGAATAAAAGAGAGGAGGGGTCCCTGGGGAGAGAGAGCTGAGCCCTGAGCTGGAGCTGAAAGGGGTTAAGGAGAGGGGCCACGTGGGCCACTCAGGTACTGGAACAGGCATGGCTGCTACTAGCTCTGACAGTCATGCCTTTCTACATTCTTGGGCTCTGCACACACCCACCCTCCCACTCCCATCCCCTAAAGCCTCAGTCTGACCCACTGTGGGACAAAGACATGACCATAACCGATGCAAGCATTTCATCATCATCATCATCATCCACCTCCACCTCCTTTGTTTGATAAAGCTCTTACCCAATTTAGCCAAGGGTTTGCAGATTGGTAACAATGGACAGACTCCTGTGGCCCCAATTTGCATATTCAACAGGAATTGGAATGAAGGCATGGGAGGCACATTTGTCACAATTCTGAAGATGCAGAAGCAAGAACATGACTGAGGTACTGAGTGGCAAATGCAACTGCAGGTGACAAGATCAGGCCACATCCACCACAACTACTCACAGGAATTCGTGAAATTGTCCTCATGTTTAAAGCAGGCTACAAGATGAGCATGACTTAATGGTATTTTTTTTTAAGTTTTGTAGATTTCAGTTGATATACAAGGTAATTTCTTGTATGACAGATCCACCCATGTTGCAAGCTTGAAGGCACAAGTGAGTCAGTGGTCAGAACAAAGGTGGTGAGGGTCAGCTGGACCCTGACTCAGCCCAAACCAGAGATAAGTTGCTCCGCTCTGCATGCAATCTGTTCTGGGAAGAAACGGACATTCAAATTTTGAGTCTGAGTAGAGTGGTTAGGATAGTAAGGAAACATAAAAAGATGTTTGGATAATAATTGTAAGACAGAACATCCAGCAAAAGAAACATGTAAGAATATGGCAGTGATCAGTGTCTCATTCTTCATTAAAAGTCTAATTCAGACAGAAGTTTCATTCTCGACCCAAGAATGTCAGAATAGGCGACTATTAGAGAAGTCTGTTATTTGCTCTAACATCTGAATAAATTCTTTTAGAACTTGACTTATTTGTTTGAAAAGAGAGAGGGAGAGAAATGAGAGAGAGAAAGAGAGATCCTTCATCTGCTGATTCACTCCCCAAATGGCCACAACAGCCAGGGCTGGGCCAGGCTGAAGCCAGGAGCTTCTTCCTGGTGTCCCACTGGGTGCAGGGGCTCAAGCCCTTGGGATCTCCTCCCTTGCTTTCCCATGTGCGTTAGCGGGGAGCTGGGTTGGAAATGGAGGGGTCAGGACTCAATCTAGTGCTCATGTGGGATGATAGCATTGCAGACAGAGGCTTCATCTGTGGCACGGTCCACGCCGGTCCCTGAAAATATCATTTGCAAAATTCAACTAGCCCAAGCCAGAGCGAGTCTGTGTGTTTACATGAGCCATGAGCGCCCAACCATGGAGGCATCAGGCTGGTTACTGGTGGCACAGCGTGGAGGAGGGTCCAAAGGGAACATTCCAGGGAAGACCGGTGCCTCCTGGCAGTGCCATTCCACCTGCGTGGCTCATCCACATTATCCATGCCTTTGCTCCTCCCTCACGTGGGCGGAAAGCGGTAGAAAGGCGCTGCCCTAATACACAGGTGGGGACGGGGAGCCTGCCTGGCTGGCCCCTGTGTGGGGCCACGGGGAAGCCTTAGTGGACCCCAGTTCTCTGAGGAAGGCCCTGCAGCTGTATCATCTCTCTTGTCTTGGACTTCCAGGGAAGGTCCTGGTCAGCAGCGAGATGGGCATCAGTCGCTCGGCCGTGCTGGTGGTGGCCTACCTGATGATCTTCCACGACATGGCCGTCCTGGACGCACTGCTGACTGTGCGCAGGAAGCGGGCCGTGTGTCCCAACGAAGGTTTCCTGAAGCAGCTGCGGGAGCTCAATGAGAAGCTGATGGAGGAGCGGGACGAGGACTACCATGACGAGGAGGACGTGGCTGAGGAGGGTGAGGCCACCGGGAGCACGCTGGGGGCCCGAGTGCAGACCCTCACGGTGGAAGAGGACGATGACCTCACCAGCGTCCTGAGCGGCTCCTCCCTGGGCCAGGCCAGCCGGGCCTCCAAGCAGCCCACCCTCATTGACGAAGAGGAGGAAGAGAAGCTGTACGCCGCCTGGAAAAGGGGGCAGAGCCCGGGAGCAAGCCAGGGAGGGGAGCAGCCCCAGGACGGGGATGGGGAGGACGGGGACGTGGAGAGGGTCATCCAGGAGTGGCAGAGCCGGAATGAGAGGTACCAAGCACAGGGGCACAGGCAGCAGTGGGACAGGGAAGAGGAGGAGGAGAACGAGGCAGGCAGAAGACGCAGGCACACACTGAGCGAGAGCAGCACGAGCGAGAGCCTGCACGTGCTGAAGCAGCAGCTGCAGAGGAGCAGCCAGGGCACAGGTGCCAGGCGCCGCTCCGACTCCGTGTCCACCGACAGCACCTGGGATGTGTGGAACGAGCGCCTGCAGGAAATCGAGCAGGAAGCTTCCCGCAGCTACCAGCGCCGGAGCCGGAGGGAACAGAGTGCCAGCGACTGGGAGGCAGGCAGCAGCAGCAGGATGCGGGAGGATGATGAGCAGAGCGTGTGCTCCGAGGCCAGCTCCTTCTATAATTTCTGCAGCAGAAACAAGGACAAGCTCACCGCCCTGGAGAGATGGAAGATCAAGAGAATCCAATTTGGATTTCACAAGAAAGACTCGGAGGCGGGAGACAGCAGCAGCGAACAGGGAGCGCAGGAAGCAGAGGGGGCGAGGCAGCCGTCTGATGTGGACCTCACAGCCTACCAGGCTTGGAAGCTGAAACATCAGAAACAGGTAGGCAATGAGAACAAGGAGGAGGTGGTGGCGCTCAGCAAGGGAGAGGACTCAGTCCTGGCCAAGAAGAGGCAACGAAGGCTGGAGCTGCTGGAGAGAAGCAAGCAGACGCTAGAGGAGAGTCAGTCCCTGGGCAGCTGGGAGGCAGACAGCTCCGCAGCGAGCGGCAGCATCCCGCTGTCCGCCTTCTGGTCGGCAGCGCCCTCCGTCAGCGCTGATGGCGACACAGCATCAGTCCTCAGCGCACAGAGCCTCCGCTCCCACCTGTCCCAGGCCTCCAACCCCACCACACCCCTGCCTAACCTGCCGCTGGGGCCCGGAGACACTATTTCCATCGCCAGTATCCAGAACTGGATCGCCAATGTGGTGAGCGAGACCCTCGCTCAGAAGCAAAATGAGATGCTGCTACTGTCCCGCTCGCCATCCGTGGCCAGCTTGAAAGCAACGCCAGTGGCCGGCTGCCTGGGGGATGACCAAGTGTCCATGCTCAGTGGACAGAGCAGCTCTTCCCTGGGTGCCCGTGTCCCGCTCCAGAGCCAGGCCACAGCCAGCTGCGACACACAGTCGGTTCTGTCCTCCAGCTCTGCACGGGGCCCCAGGGCAGAGGGCCCTGGGGGAAGAGTGAGGGGGACCAGCAAGCCCATCTACAGCCTCTTCGCTGATGATGTGAACCTAAAGGAGCTGGACCGGAAGGAGAAGGAGATGCAAATGGAGCTGAGGGAAAAGATGTCTGGGTACAAAATGGAGAAGCTAGCCTCCGACAACAAACGCAGCTCCCTTTTCAAAAAGAAGAAGGTCAAGGAGGATGATGAGCTCGATGGCCTGGGAGACAGGGATGAGGACACAGATAGTGCCATCGGGAGCTTCCGAAACTTTTCCCGCAGTAACTCCCAAAAGCCCGAGACGGACACCACGTCCTCCCTGGCTGCTTCCCATCACAGAGAGGAGGTCAGCAGAGCCGGCAGAGAGGTGGATGGCAGCATCAACAGGTGGCTCAGCGGCCTCAGGACAGAGGACAAGTCCCCTCCCCAGAGCGACTGGTCAGGCAGCTCCCGGGGCAAGTACACCAGATCATCTCTGTTCCGTGAGACCGAGTCTAAGTCCTCCAGTTACCAGTTCTCCAAATCCCAGTCCCAGGAGCAGGACACCTCCTCCTACCATGAGGCCAACGGCAGCTCAGTGAGAAGCTCCTCGCGGTTCTCCACCTCCTCCACCAAGGAGGGCAGGGAGACGCACAAGTTCTCCAGGTCCACGTTCAGCGAGACCTCGAGCTCCCGAGAGGAGAGCCCAGAGCCCTACTTCTTCCGCAGAACCCCCGAGCCCTGCGAGGGCGATGAGTCCCCGGAGCTGCTGCGCCCCAACTGGGCCAGACCCAGGGGAGACTGGGAAGACGTGGAAGAGTCCTCTAAATCGGATTTCTCCGAGTTTGGGGCCAAAAGGAAATTTACCCAGAGCTTCATGAGGTCTGACGAGGAGGGAGAGAAGGAGCGAAGAGAGAACAGAGAGGAAGGGAAGTTTGCCTCCGGGCGGCGGTCTCAGTATCGGAAAAGCACCGACAGGGAGGAAGAGGAAGAAATGGACGATGAGGCCATTATTGCCGCTTGGAGACGGCGGCAGGAAGAAACCAAGACAAAGTTGCAGAGGAGGCGGGAGAACTGAGCCCGGCCTCGCTCCGGGGACCCCTGAGGACCCCGGGAGAGATGGAGCTTGGGGGGAAGAGGCGGGCGCACAAGCTGTCACCAACCCTGAAGGGATGCGGAAAAGTCTGCTCGGAGGACTGGAACCAAATGAAAGGCACCAAGCAGAAGGGTGCTGGGGGTGGTACGGGGATGAGGCAAGGGGCCCACCAATGAGAGGTGGAAACACCGGACCGCCTGGCACCTTTGCCGTGGCCCCACTGTGTCATCTCCGCTTTGGTGCTTAATTCCTTTCACTGGGAGAGTGCATCACCCAGAAAAAGAGGTGAGCGCAGACAAGCCTCGTGATTTGTCAGACTCCAGGAAGGCCACGAACACAGGAGGTAATTCTGTTTGTAGAGGTTTTAATGAGACCCAGAAAAATCTATCCTGGGCCAAATTTGACCTCTCCCTCAGTTGTGGCTGTTTCTTTTAACACTCAGTTCTGGCGGCTGCTTTAGGATGCTTTGGATCTCCAATAAATCGGCATATTGTCCATCTTTTTTCTTCATTCTGCTTACTTTTAACTTTTTGGAAATTAGGGGAAACCTACTTCCCCAAAATTCAAATGGACCATCACGAGCCATCCTGTTTATTCCCTCAAAACGTATACTACCAGATCATATTATCGTCTGCTTGCTATGGTAACGATCAAGTATTTAGTCTACAATGCAATGCAGTGGGCAATCCCACCAGGAAAAACCCGGAGAAAAACAGAGGAACCTAGATAGAAATAAAGAGAATGAGTGTTACTGAGGTGAGGGTGGCAAGATGAAAAGGAGGGAGAGGATCCCCTTGAAATGGCAGAAAAACACAGCCTCACACACAAGGAGGAGATGGATTTCCAGAGTTTGAGGCCATGCTTGCTGTGTCGCCCTTGGAGATGGCAGTCCTGAGACGGTCCCTTTGCTCATTCTGTGTGTGCTGGCTTGGCTGAGAACTCTCTGTTCTTTGCTCCCAAAGCACTTGGCCAGGACACAAGTTGGGTTGCTGAAGCCAGCAGTTACGCTTGGAGCACACGACTGCAACCCTGAGTGGACTTGCTTCTACCATTGACAAGCTGCTACACCCCTCTCAGGACCTAAAAACAGGCCCGTGCCACCCAGGGGCCGGGGATGCTTCAGCCAAACACAAAAGTCTATTCAGGACACCCAGCTGGTGATGCTGGGATTCACCAGGGACAGGAAGCCTCCGATATGGGACAAAGGGCAAGGGACAGTCACATGGTCTTCTGAAAACTGAGTTTCCAGGGGCTGTGGCAATAAAGCAAGCTTCCCAGGCAGATTGTCTCAGCATCGCACGTTTCAGTGAGCACAAAGATACAAATACCAAGGCAGAGGAGAAGGTGACTTGGACAAAAACTCAGAACTGCCCGTAGCTAGGATCAAAGCACCTGCCTGTCTTGCCCCCTATCGCTGTGGGCCACAGTTCAGTTGTTGGTGCCCATCCCTTCCTCCACTGACACAGAGAGTGCTGTGGGGGGAGGAGGGGTGCTGGCTTTGTCCCATTTGCCCCTTTCCTTTTTCTTTTGTTTGTCTCACTTTAGCCCTCCTCAGTTCCTGGTTCCAATGCCCAGTGAATAACTCTCACCTTACAAAATCGTGTTACTATGGAGTAACGTGTAAGAGGGTCTGTTTAAGCCCACTTCACTCCCTGGGAAGTGCAAGGCTCCCTCTCTTAAATCACACCTGGAGGGATGTTTGTGATGTAGATACAGTCAAGGTAGCACTTGCCTAGGAGAGAACCGCAATGACCTTAATGGACCCCTCTACCCATCCACAAGGAGCCATCTAGCTCAGGTCTCTGTACTTGCCTTTTAACATAGCTAGCAGAATATGTAACTTGATCTTACCTATGTCGAGCTAGACAAGGAAATTCATTTAAAACCATCCCTAGTCAGTTCCCACTCAAAACCCACTAAAGCAGTGTTGGCCATTTAAAGCATATTGGTCTGAAGACTCACACTGGTCTTTCTCCAACCCTGGGAGTGAGCTTTGGGAAACACAGAAAAGAAGACCACTCACTCAGTCTGCTTTCAGTTGAGCTCTTAGTTTAGCGGGTGATAATAGGCCCACGGCCACGGGTAGACGAGCTCAGCTCAGCTCACTACACTGGATCTTAGCCAAAAGCCCAAGAAGCAATTCAGCTCACTGGAGGAAGAAACCAGACCCAGGTCAAAGTCACGGTCTAGAGAAACGTGTTTGCTTGTGGTGTCTCCAAGACCAGCTATGTCTGGATCCTGTACTCAGGGAAGGATCAACCCCTAAATTCAGGATTCTGAATTCAGCTCATTCCTGGCCTCCAGAGTATATTTTGGAAAACCACATCAGTAGAAATTGCGTTTGGTTTATGATGAACTTGAAGAAGTACCTGTGATTTGAAGGTATTTTTGACTTATGCCTCACAGAGGATGATAGAGTGCAGTCTTAGCCTTAGTCTCTCACTGACATTGGAAGGTGTGTGTCTGTAAAAGTCTCCACAGGAAACAGATGGCATATCCAACATGGCATTTGCAGAGGAAGGGATCCAAGAGGAGATAGCAAAGTGCCTGAGTGTCTGCCAGGGTAAGAGATAGCCACCACTGAGGACCCACAGGTCCCAGCAAGGAGGCTGCCCCCAGAGAATGCTGTGTGGGTCCCAGCACCATCCCTCTAAACAGCCTGGTTGAGTGGTAGAAACAAATTCCCACACATACCTCTCCTCCTGGTGTTCAGTCTCATGCTAAGAACTTCTCTGGCCCAACCTAACGAGAAGCCTGTGGGCGGGAGGGTTTAATTAGTATAGAGAAGGGGAAAAGATGGGTCTGGAGGGGTATACAGAGAACCACCACACCAAGGTGAACATGTTGACATGCCAGGCCATTTCTAAGCACCTTCACATTGATGTGGTCCCAAATGCCTGAAGACACTAAACACAAAGTCAACATGCTCTTAAGAATTAATTACCAACTGGAAGACTGTTCGTAACACCTACTACGAGAATCAGTCATCTTGTTTTTCAAGAAAGAAAGTGAAGAAACAGATCCGACTCTATGACCTCCATCTACTTGTGAGTTATATACTAAGAAAAAAAAATTTTCAAAATACCAGAAGGGTCAGTTGTTCAGCGTATTGTGTGTCACCACAGGAGATACCCACATGCTGTATCAGGGTGCCTGAGCTCAAATCCCAGCTGCACCCCCAGTTCTAGCTTCCTGTTAATGTGTGCTCTGAGAGACAGCCAGTGTTGGCTCAGCTACTTGGATCTCTGCTTCCCACGCGGGAGACTAACACTGAATTCCACCTCATCCAGCCCCAGCTGTTAGGGCACTGGGGAGTGAACCAACAAACAGAAAGTCTCTCTTTCTTGCTTTGCCTTTCAAAAAATATTTTGAATAATTTACTTTTATTGGAAACCCAGATTTACAGAAAGATTTTTCATCCACTGATTCACTCTCCAAATGGCTGCAACAGCCACAACTGAGCCCATTAGATCTGAAGCCAAGGGCCAGGAGCTCCCCCCAGGCCTCTTATGTGGATGTAGGGTCCCACGGTTATGGGCCGTCTTCTACTACTTTTCCAGGTCATAAATAGGGGGCTGGATGGGAAGTGAAGCAGCCAGGGCATGAACCAGTGCTCATATGGAGTGCTTGCAGACAGAGGATTAGACCATTGAGCCATCATACCACCCCCCACCAACACCACTACATAGAGCTGTCCTTGCAGGAAGAGTCTTCAGTACAAATCTACACCTGTGCTTAGGAGCATCTACTTTTCTTGATTAAAAACATCATCCATGTTGTGTACACTACTCCAAGTCTTCCGCCAGCTTCAGTTCCTTTGCATCATGTCTGTGATCTGTTTCAGGAGCTATTCAGAAGCAATGTTCTCTGCTACACACAACACACACACACACACACACACACACACACACACACACAATCACAAGTGGATTTCTTACAAAACCAGCATTTTAAGCCATCCCATCTCCCCAAATATCCATCAAATTCAGTGTAGATCCAGCCAACTATTTTGCTTATGAAAATAGTTCATAAAAGCTTACTTTTACGGGTCCCGAATACATCCCCAGTCATTTTCAGGCGCTGTGACCCTCGTAGCACCTGTGAGCAGGTGGGCACGCAGTGCAGCAAATGCAAGCCAGGCAATCCCACTGCCATCCCTTCCCTCACCCAGGTCCTGAGTGAGCAAGGAACAGAGACACATGGTTTCGCTCTGAGTGTCCCCAAGCTCCTGAAGGTAAACGCTTGGAGTCAGCTTGAGTAGCAACAGAGACAGGGACCTCAATCAATGATTTAATTCCATCGAGGTCAGCTCAGCTAGCACCGGGACACTGTGCTGCTTGAAGTGATAGAAGGCAGACAGGTTCTTAGAGATGTCCCTCAGGAGAAGAAGCTTTTGAAAAAGCTGAATTAAGGACTGTCGCACTCCCTGGGTCTCAACAGTAGGCAGGTGTATCCACCCGCTATGGAGGCTTGAAGCTTCACAGCTGCATCTGATGCCTTTCTTTCTCTGCCCTCTGTACCTAGGCCAGGTAATTCTGCCCATTGTCTTGGCTGCTTTCATGCTAATATCACCCACCACCTCTCAAAACCAGGCCTCTTTAACCTTCCATCTACCTGGGTTAGCAATAGCCTTGTTATTAACCAGTCCCCATTTCCCTTTTGTTTATTCCAGGATCAAATTGACCTTCCCTAAATTTATGATTCCAGTTCCTTTCTCTGTTAGCTGCAGCAATGACTCCCCATTACCTACTAAACGAATCCTTGCCTCCTCCTCCACTTGGCATCCAGAGGTCACCTTCGCCTGTCCTTTTAGCACTGTCATATTGCCATGCACCCTGCCTGCTGGCCACCCTTGCCCAACATGCCACTTGGACTGCTCTCCTATGTTCTGTGCCTCAGCTTTCCCCTCCTCCTTGGCTTCCCCACCCTGCACCCTGTCACATCCTCCAAGATTCCTCCACATTCCTCCTCTATTTGGCCTCTTCCACTCACCCTGACCCCATAAGTGTCCTCCGCTGAA